GAACTGAAAAGAACAGGGAGAGGCACTCAAAGCTGTTCAAACTGAACACAGCTTCAGTTCTGTTTGCTGTCTCAACTGGTATTTTGCCACTCTTTTGCCTCACTCTCAGGAAAGGCAACTGAGGAAATATGAAAATCAATTAAAAAGTGCCAGAATTTCTCTTCCTCCTGTTCTGAGAGTCTGGGGCAAGCATTCAAATTGTACAAGATTATAACTATTTCTTTACACTCAGCTTTGTGGTACTTTCTAATGACAAATGAGTCAATATTTCCAAGACTGAAAATAAAAAGAAGATCTTAAGTCATCAGGTATTAGAATTGTTGTTACTAAATTTTATCTTCTTTTGTAAATTGCCTTTTCCTTGTTTGCTTCTATTTTAATGTGTTAGCTTTTCATGACCTTCACATTATTTGTTTGCAGAGTAAGTAGAGTTAATGCTTTACACTTAACATAAAACTTTTCAACTTCAAAGAACTCTTTAAATAAGCTATCTGAAAGCAAGCTAACAGAGGAATACAAAGTTAACATTAAAGAGGCCTCTAAATATGAACCTGAAAAGATAGTGGCAAAAAGCAAATCATTCAAAAACATATTTATGAGAATGAGTTGAACAGGTCTGGAGGAAAAAGAGAGCAAAGTCTGAAGTTTGGATAGAGGACCAGTGCTAATAAGGACTGCATGCCTGCCTCTGTGTGTGTGTGTGTGTGTGTGTGTGTGTGTCCTCTCTTGCTACTTATCAAAGTTAGGCTGTACAAACTTTAAAGAAATTTTGCCTGTGCAACTTATTCTAAATTCTAAGACCAACCCATTGTCACATTTTTACCCTCATGCTATTTGTAGCCACAATTGGGTGAATAGAAATTCATTTTAAGGTTAGTGGTAGGTGCTTGAAAAATCTTCAAACACAACTTCCACATACAGTTAGGGTTCCATTTGAGTGACCAACTGGCCTGCTTTTGTAATCATACTTGGCCTTTTCAATTTGCTAGTTTGATTCTGTTGGCAGTATTCATAGATACCTTCCAGCTCATGATGAAGGAAATAAATAGCATGTTTGAGTCAGAGAGTTCCAAGGATCTGTAGGTAATGTGAGGCCAGACACCATCATTACTCTATCCCAGTGTCTAGCACAGTGCTCAGATACATTCAACTAATGTTTTCAGTGTGATTAAATGAATTAACAAATCACTTTGGGTTACTTGTAAAACTTCTAAATGGTTAGTGTGAAAGGTCACTCTTGCTTGCTTGGCTGTCTCTTTTTACGGGTCTTTTAGAAAATATAACCCAGTCAGCAACCAGCTTTCTTTCTTTGTAACATAACAACTGAGTATTATAAATAATATCTATAGTTCATTCAAATTCTCCATCGCTTGAAGCTCTCTGATATATATGTGCTATTTGAGCTGCGGAGAAGATTTGCATACAACCTCAGTTATTTATTTTGTAACAGAAAATAAAAAGCACCAAACAAAATTACAGAGTGCAGGTGTGCTGCTAACTCATTATGAAATATTGATTTTTCATAGAGGTCTCTTCTCTATCTCCAAGCCATAAAATTGGCCATAATACCTTATATGAGGAAAATAACATCTTGTTATTAATAAATCATGGACTCTCAATGGTTGATAATGGAAGACAATGCAAAAAATCTTCTAGATCCTAATTCTTCTCTTCTAAATTTTTCCTGACTTCTGGCGATCTCAAGTTCATTTTCCTGCTACCTCAATGTTGGCATTCTATATATTTGTAAGTAACCTTCTGGCCTAATGTCAATGCTTGATTCCTTATTATTCCATAACAGAACAGAGACAAGGCCAACAGGGAAGGGTCAGTTTTCTTTAGGGCAGTAAGTCAAGTAGTTAAGAGTGTTTCTGTTGTCAGAAAGACTTAAGTTACTGTTCTTTCCACTTTTGGTTGTGTGACTTTAGGCAGTCATTTTATGCCTGAGTCTCACTTTCTTCCTCTCTGGAATAGGGATTCATATAATACCCATTTCCTGGGACTGTTGTGAACATTGAAATACCAGGACAATTTAGCATAGTCTCTTCTACATAGTAAGTGCTCAGTAAATGTTAGTTATTAAGTTTATTACAAAATACCGTTGACCCTTGAACAATATGGGTTTGAACTATGCAGGTCGACTTACACATGGATTTTCTTCTGCCTCTGAGACCCCAAGATAGCAAATCCAACCCTTCGTTTTTCTCTTCCTCCTCAGCCTACTCAGTGTGGAGGAAGACCTTCCTCCTCAGCCTACTCAGCAAGGAGGAAGACCTTTATCCTGATTCATTTCCCCTTAAAGAATAGTAAATATATCTTCTCCTCCTTATGTTTTTCTCAACATTTTTTCTCTAGCTTATTGTATTGCAAGAATATCTGTAGGCTATTAGTAGTGAAGGTTCTAAGAAGTCAGAAGTTATACACAGAGTTTCAACTAGGTGAGGGAGTCAGTGCCTTCAACCCTCGCATTGTTCAAAGATCAACTGTATACCAGGAAGTAGTAAAAAAGAGATAAACACAAAAAGGAACATGGATCCAGATAATTGTACTTCAAGAGAAGAGATGGGCTTCCTGGCTTACAGGATTCAAGTCACTCTGACTCTTAGTATATTTCTGAGAGGGTAATATCTTGGCACAAAGAGCCTAAGAACCTGGGCCTGGACCCAGGGGATGGGACCAGAGCATGGCGGCACATTCTTCTCCTCCCAGTTTGGTTTTCCTCTGTCAAGATAATGGAAACTAGAACTGACTTGGTTTCTGAGGGAAGAACTGTGCCATGTTGGAGATAAATGGCTGGCCTCAGGAGGAAAGTAACAGAATACAGCAAAACAAGACTAGTGCCTATGAGAAATATACACATATAGCAACAAGGAGGGCATTTATTACATCTAAAACTTTTTTCTCATTATTCTGTGATTTTCCTTATTACCTTCCAGTGTTTTCACCCACATACAATTAAGAGTTATTTTGTGCTTCACTCTCTTAAAATTCCATCTGGGCAGCTCCTTTCCTGGCAGGACAGCCCATCCACCTCTAGCACTAATGCAGAACCAGGAGATGAGCATTAGCTAATAAAGAAGGGGACCTCCCTGGCATGCCAGATGGGAGAGGGTGACTCCAGGAGATTAGTGAGCAGCCTGGCTCCAGGCTCCGGAAGCAACTTGAACACTCAGGAGCTCTAAAAAAGAGGGAAGGCACTTCCTCTTGGTGGAGCAGACTTTGTGAGATTTCTCGGAATACTTTTGCCTTTACCCACCTCCAGGAAAGGCCAGGGGTATCAAAGATCAGACTTCATTTGGGAAATTACTTTGTGCCAAGCTCAGGGACTACCATGGAAATAAGATATTTTTTAAAACTTGTGACCAATTGAGAATTGCTGTATAAAGTCAGGCCAATAGGAAAGGAGAGTCCATGGGGAGGTAGATTCCATCGTAGTTCAGGCAGAGATTTTGGCTTGCAGTAGCCTGGGTTCACATCCCAGCTGTGCCTTTTAGTAGATATGTAATCTTGGGCACATTCCTTAATCTCTCTAAGATGTAGTCTTTAAAAAGGTGATATTAATAGTATTTACCATACAGGTATCAATGGATGGAATAAAGTATTGTACAAAAGCACCGGACATGTTATAGTGCTCATTAACATTAATCTTCCTCTTTACTTTTAGGAACAAGGCACAGAAGTTTGTTTCCCGACTCGTCCTCTCTTTTTGGCATAGTAACCTTTTAACTAACTTCATGTCAGAAAGGTATTTCAGGGGCATGTTTTCACAGGCAAAGTAAATAAACCCAGGCAAATTTATCTGGCTTTATTCATTCAGAGAGGCCTGGGAATAATTTCTTCATTTGGATGATTAACATTACTTATGGGGCTTACAGTGGCTTTAACCCACCTGTAAAACAAGGCTTGTAGAAAAGAGTGCTTCTCTAATATCAGAGCCTATCCTCTGTGTTTGTGGCTCTTGTAGCTTAGACTCTGGGCCTTGCATACCTAGACTGGCAAAGCTTTTTGTTCTTTCTGATTTGTCAGTCCTGTGTGGGTCAACTTCTCATCTGCTAAGTTCTCTGGCTGTATCGTCTCTTGGCCCCCTTTGCCCACAGAGCCTGACCCTCTGGTTGATATATCTGAGTTTATTTGGAAAGCAGAAACTACTCTATATATTTTAAGCCACAGGTTATTTAATACAGGGAATTAGATGCTCCCCAACCCACTGAGAGGCCTAGAGAATGGGCTCTAAGCTTGGTCTCCAGAGATGGCTTCCAGAACACTTGCATTGCCTCTAAGGCTTCCACAAGAATAAATAGTTCCAGAACACGTTGATGAGTTTGCCATCCAGGGAAGGTGCAGCCACTACTGCCACCACTGCCAGTGATAAATGACCCCCAACATGCTGGTGATAGAGTCTGGCTACTGCTTCCCCTACAATTGCCTCTTCACATCTGGAAACCCGGAGAATGGACATTGAAACAATATTGTAGAAAAGCTTGACATTTCCATGCGCTTGCTTGTCAGTAAAAATTGCCCCCGAGGACTCCATTCTGTCTTTTAAATCCCACTGAAGGGCATCTAACAGGTGAATTCTAATTTACCTCTGGCACCCCCTTGGTTGCACAGATGACTTGGAAGTGTATTTTTTAGCTTTCCTGCCTCCGTATTATAGGAAGACACACTGAAGGAGTTCCAAAAGGTAATTATCTAGTAACAACAAAGGAAGTTAAAAGACTTGGGTGAGCCAGAGTTTAGTTTCAGCTTGTATATCAGCTAAAGAGGCAGAATAGAGTGGTTACCAGGGATCCAGAGGTTAGGAAATCAGTCAACAAAGGGGAAAAACTGGTTTTGGGAAATTAGGCGGCAGAAAGTTTTGAGTACAGGCAGAGTATGGTCGAAAGTTTCCACAATCCAAGCATGTGTAAGTCCAACAACAGTAACGGAATTTGATTAAAACCTGGTACTTTTGGAGCTGTGAGCTTCTGGTGCCCTCCCTGTTCAGAGTCCCAACTTACCTGAAGTATGGGTAGGCTTAAGCCTGCAGGTGGAGGGATCCAGGCCCATTTGCCCAGAACAGGGAAGGGGAAAGGCAGAGAGCAAAGCAGTGTGAATACCAAGTACCAGATTCCTCTCTGGCGTCCTCCTTGACAGAATGAGTTGGTACCTGTAACCACATTTATCCCTCCTACTTTCTGCAGTGCTTGCTTCATGTGTAAACCCTTAAATATACTATTCTGAGGTTCGTATACTTACTAAAAATTATGTAACTGTGTTTGAATGTATTGAGAGAAGATACTAACTAAAGCCTGGGTTGTATGTTTACCCAACTGAATGATAACATACATTAAGTACTTTCCTAGTAATAGAAACAAAAATACTAAGCACTTTGACAAATGATTATTATGTAAAAATTTCCAGTTAATTTATACCAGCTGCAAAACAAGAGTACACATTAACATGAAAATGCAGGAGATAAAGAAAAATAAATTCATATATACAGATACACATGTACATACATTTATACACGTGTGTGCATATACGCATATTCACATGCATGAATATCTATAAACACATACACAGGTAAATTATTTTAAACTAAGACAAAGAACAATGACAACAGCAAAAATTTCACCACCTGAATTCTCAGGACTTAGAAGTAAAAGGTAGTAAGCAGTATTCTACACACCAAAAATTACCTCCTTGGCAAAATAAGGTCTTTTGTGGAAGGAGGTTTTCAGCAAACAGATTTTGACAATTGACACCCCATGAGCACCATTTGTGGAAAACACTTTTTTTTTGGCTGTAATTTGATGAAGCAGAAAGTGGAAATCAATAGAACATTGCCAATTGTGTTCTTTGCCGATGCCCCTGTCTTTCTCTCCTCTGCTCCTGTTCTGTAGTAGATAAGAGCTAGGAGGAGCCCAGAACACAATATATGGATTTTTAAAAAACTAGCACAATAAAGGAAGCTACAGAATACTTTTAACTTGAGAAATATATTCAGCACCATGTTGCACATTTGCTATGTAGCAGAACAGGCTGATTTCAAGCCCAAAGGTTGGTTGGGAGTTTATATGATCTCCCCAGAACTTCAGGGAGAACCTTTCTCACCAGAGCTCTTATCTTTACCTCTCGGCACAGCTGGTTTCCATGACAACAGCCCAATGTCTAGTTCAGTTTTGCAAATACTTTCCAAAGCCCATTAGGCCTAAAATCTTCTCTTTAGACTCTCAAATCAGCCTTATTCTATCCAACCTTCCTACTGCATCCTCTTCCTTTAATCTTCTCAACTTACGGGATGAGAAACATAAGACTTTATAGTGGTAAATATACCTAATAGCCATACAAAGACAGGTGTTAGATAAAACAAAAGAAAAAGAGGCTAAAGTAGTTCCCAGATTACCCTAAGGTTGGTTGCCTGATTATTTCTCAATGTCTCATCTTGTTTTAAACCCTGGCATGTTGCTTCTGTGCTTATTTGAGTGGCTCTTCTGAGTGGGGATGCTCTGAGTGGGTAAAATGAGAAATAAAAATTCAATGTAGTAGCAGGAATGCTGTTTAGGGAGTGGAGACCTCAGCTCTGCCTCTGAATTTCTGTCTCTATGAACTTGAGCCACTATAAAAGGAGGGTCTATGGGGGAATTTCTAGCTTTATTATTTCATGACCTAGTATGAGCAGGATTCAGTCTGTCCACCTTTGAGTAAGTTGTGTTTGCCAAATTAAATATTCTTCTTGCTGGTTGGTGATTAAATAGAGTAATCCTAATCTTACATCAGGAATATGATAGAAAAATCAATCTACACCTGCTTAGAGAGAACACTTCTAAGTATTCCATCAAAACGGTTCACTTCATTCCATAGTTCAGAGTAGAAATGGATCTTTTAGGGGCATCTCTAAAGATAGAATTATCTTAGAGACTTATCCTACATTAAGTCTGTTCTCAGACACATGCTGGAATTTACCTGATGAATTCACTGCTGATTTAAATATTTCAAAATTTTTCCAAATCTATTAACTTGACCACTCATAAAAAAACTTTATTAAAAAATGTTCTGTGAAACAAAGCCATTTTCAGGAGTAGTTTGTCCAAAGTAAAGAAAATTTATTTCTCCTTCTGCAATTCTGCTCACTCATTCCTGGATATGCCAACATTGTAATTATCTTTAGCTACCCACCAAACTGAATGCAAAGGCCAGTACAGTGAATGACCTCCTTGAGGGGCATACTATCAGTCATTTGTACATGAAACAGTGCACATTGGTCAGAGCCTTGTTAGAAGAACATTTTCTTAAGATAACTTATAAGGTCTTTCATTTTCTTGCAGAACTCCATATATAATACGTACAAACACATACATAGGTAAATTGTTTTAAATTAATACAGCAACAATAACCACAAAAATCCCACGACCTGAATTCTCAGAACTTAACAGTAAAAAGTAGTAAGCAGTATTCACATACCAAAAATTACCTCCTTGCCAAAAAAAGGTCTTTTGTGAAAGTTTTTCAGCAAACAGATTTTGCGGTAGAGAGTTTCATAGTAGATACAATAGAGATTAAACCTGGGGATCCAGGAGAAGTGGTGCTGTGATGGGGAAGTTGGAGCCAGAGGACAGCTTGTGGGTTCTGGGTCCCTGGTACCCAGCAGGAGGTCTTATTAAGGGCCTGTTTGTCCAAACTGGTTGTGGTGAATCCTGCTTTTTATTTTCCTCACAGTTGAGCAGTCTTGATTACTCCATATTTTGTGATTTCTAACTTTTCAGTTGCAGTGTATTGTGACTAACAGAGGAGACAGGCAGATTATATATAAGTGTTTCAAAAAATGTGCTGCCTATGGGCACCAGGAAGATTGTCTTAGGAAGGTCTAGATCAGTCTCTTCCTAAATCTAGACAATCTGCAGAATTTGACTGGATAAAATTTTGAGTCTCCTGGAATCTTGATACGCCATGTTCAGACAGCTTCTTCCAAGTGTCATATTTCATCAATAGAAATGCTAGGTCATTGAGAGAGAAAAAGGTCAGTAGATACAGAAAGAGTGTGGCCTTTGGAGTATTGGTGATAAATGGACATCTTTTTATTTTCCGAAGGTTACCCACATTGCCTGAAAAGTAGGAGGTATTTTTCTATGGAAGATTAAGGATTTGGCTGAATGCCTCAATTTTTCATCACACTAGGTCCAAAGAACAGCTATTTGATTACATTTAATTCAGCTTCTCTCAGACTCAGTTAACACACACACACACACACACACACCCCTACCTAAAAATGTGCCTGCAGAATATTGTTGCTAAGCAAAATGAGATTTTTAAAAAATAAGCTAAAGCCTCAATAACTAATCAGTTTTCAAACAACTGCATTAATCCAAGAAAGAAGCCATTTCATTTCTAATGTCCCCAAAGGACAGATGTTCAACATTCTGTCGCCATCTTGCAAACCTTTGCTTTGGAAGGAACTTTTGCAGTGTTGCTCAATTCATTTGGAGAACATTCAGAAAGAGGCTTATACATCAAAGTGAGGGAAAGCCAACTTAAGCTTTAGAATAAATACTCAAATCTCTTTTCATATCAGCTATTTGCTGTAATCCTTCCAAAGTAACCTCTAATAATCAGGGGAGGGGCAGGGAAAGTGAAGAGGAAGGGAAACTATTGGATTTGAATGTCTGATTAAAAACAAACAAATAAGAAAATTCTAACATTCTTAAAATGTGACTTGGAGAGTAAAAGTAGGTAGAGGAAAGAAGGAAACAGCATTCAAAATCTGTATAAGCTTCTTATAAGAAAAACATATCTCCCAGCAAGAATAATTCTCCATGAGGCCTACTGTAACCTAACAAGTGGGTTTCCATTACCCTCCCAGGAGAACTAGAGACTGAATCCTTGTCATTATACCTATACCCCTCATGTTTGCAAGGTAGAGATACAAAACAGTACTGACTTCATAGTTTTGTTTTTTTTGTCCAATATTTGCTTTTTGTGAAAAATAAATTTGTTTAATGTATATAGTGATTAGAATAGTACCTGATACATTATCAGTGTTGTTCAAGTTTGCTGTTATAATTGTTATTTCTCATTATAATAGTAAATCACACATTCTGATCCTTTAATACAGGATTTCTCAGCCTTAGCACTATTGTTATTTAGGATTTAATAATTTAATAATAAGTATTTAATAATTAAATTAATTAAATAATTAAACCATTTAATATTTTGTTTGTTTTTGGTGGGGATGGAGAAGCTGTCACGTACATGACAATATTTCATTTAGTAGTTGATATGGTGAGGCTTTGTGTCCCTACACAAATCTCATTTTGAATTGTAATCCCCATAATCCCCAACTGTAAAGGGAGAAACCTGGTAGAGGTAATTGAATCATGGGGGCAGTTTTCCCATGCTGTTCTCATGATAGCATGTGAGTTCTCATGAGATCTGATGGTTTTATAAGGAGCTCTCCCCGCTTCGCTCAGCACTTCTCCTTCCTTCCACCTTGTGAAGGTGCCTTGCTTCCCCCTTGCCTTCTGCCATGATTGTAAATTTCCTGAGGCCTTGCAAGCCATGCTGAACTGTGAGTCAATTAAACATCTTTCCTTTAGAAATTACCCAGTCTTGGGCAATTCTTTATAATAGTATGAAAATGGACTAATATAGTAGTATTTCTGGCCTCTATCATTATCTATAAGCACTCCCCACTCTATTTATTTGAGACAACCAAAGCCATCTCTAGACATTACCAAATATCCCTGGTAGGGGAAAAGTTAAAAACACTGCCTTAATGTAGCCCAGGTATTATTCTAAGTGCTTGGCCAAAGGCACATAGTTAAAAATGGTAGAGTCAGGATTCAGATTTATATATTCTGACATAATCTACTATATTAAAATGTGTGTGAGCTCTTGGCAGAGAAAACAATAATAATTATTTATTACTATTTCCAAGATAGTTTCTTATTTTAATCTTGTGATATTGATAAGGCAGTAGTTGAGTTCAGAAAACAAAGAATAACTTTCATTCCCTGAGTCTTAGTAGTAAGAGGCTCAGCTAAAACTCTTTACTAATATATAATGATACG